GGGGTCCTGGTTGCTAGGTGCTGGATTCCCCATTGCCTTCCCCATGCTCCACTGCTAGGGGGATTAAGGCCCAGGCAGCCTGGGGACACCCTCCCTCTGTCTGCTAGCCTGCCCCAGAGCACACAGCCCTCCCCTCCCTGCCACAGGGCAGCAGAGGGGAAACTGAGGCCCGCAGGCTTCATACCCCTAAGTGGTGCTGGGGGCTGGGCTGTTCGCTTTCAAACACGGGGCTCCCCTGCCAGCTGTGTGCCCGGGGGTGCCCCCGAGCAGGACCCCCGGACAGAGCCCAGCTGCCACGTGAGGAGGAGGCTGCCGCTGCACGTGCTGCCCGCTGCGTGGGTTCCCTGCAGGCTGCCGCAGTCACAGGAAGCCTGAAATAAACCAGGTCAACCGCCGTGTCCCCATTCCCCTGCGGCGGGGGCGGGGGGGCAGTGGGGAGACGGAGCTTTCGGGGGGGCAGCGCCCTGCGGCGGGGGTGGGAGGGCAGTGGGGAGACGGAGCTTTCGGGGGGCAGCGCCCGGGGGCGGGGGCTGCTGGCGATAATTCTCATCAGCATCTCCTGGGCCTGGGGCTCCCTCGTGGGGAGCGCCCCCCTCCCATGGTGTTTGTTGCTCCTGAGGGTCCCAGGCCTGGCCCCAGGGTCCCGGCTGCCAGGAAGCAGGTGTTAGCTGCCCTGCTGCTGGGGTGTCTCTGGGGGCAGCTCCTGGCAGACACCTCGGTGCCAGGTCCCTGGCAGGAGCCACCGCCCGCTCCCCTGGGGAGTTGTGTCCCCCTGGCACCAGCTGTGCCCCCTGCCGCCGAGTGTGAGCAGAGCTCGGCACCCCCCGCCCCGGGCGGCCCATCCTGGGACCTCCTGCCCAGGGCAGCGGGGCAAGCGCCATCCTGCCGCCCATCCCCGCCGCACCTGGGCGCCCGCCAGGTACCTGGCACCAGCACAGCCGGGGCGGGGGCGCTTTCCGGGGGCGGGGGAAGTCCCCCCGATCCGGCCGAGAGGCAGTGCCCGGTGCGGGGCTGCCGGGGGCGGAGGGCCCCGGGGGGTGGCTCCCGCCCCGCCCCGCGATGATGAAGCGGGGCGGGCAGGAATGCGGCGCAGCCGGCCGGGCCGGGTGCCGTGTGCGCCCCGCGCAGCCATGCGCCAGCCCCGCTGATGGGGCGCCCCGCGCCCTGCGCCCTGGTGCTGGTCGCCGTCCTGCTGCTGGCCGGGCCCCGCGCCGGAGCGCCGCGCCCCCGCGTCACCGCCAACTTCGTAAGGCCCGGGCGAGGGGTGCGGGGGGCTGCGGGGTCCCGGGGCCGGAGCCGGGGGTTCAACCCGACAGCCACCCGCTCCCAGAGCCCCGGGCGGGCACCCAGCGGCGAGGGGCCGGGGCGGGGACTCCGGGCAGCTCCGTGCCCCGCTCGCTGGCCGGGCTCTCCCGGGAGCTGGACGAGAACCAGCCCTGGCTGGGCCGGGGCCCCGGGACACCGAGGCCGGGTCAGGGGGCGCTTTGGGCGCTGTGATCCCCGCGCTGGGAGCGGGGGGGTAACGGGATTTGGGGCGCGCGGTTGTAGGCAGCGAGGCCGCCGCTGGGCCCGGCCTGACCCACCGGTAGGAGTCTGGGGGGGCTGGGCTGGGTCCGGGCCGCTGCAGAGCCTAGGGCGGGTTGTTTGTGTTCCGTGGGGCGAGCGGGGCCCGGGCCGGGGCTCCGGGGTGGGTCGGTAGCGGGGCTGCGGAGTAGGGTGGCCTGTGGCCAGGTGAGATATCGGGACACGGGGGGTCCTCCGGCGGAGCGAAATATCGGGACAAATTGTGTCCCGACCGGGCGCGCGACAAACAGCTAAAAATCGGGGCGTCCCCGGTCCGGTCACCCCAGTGCAGGGAACAGGGATGGGTGCGTGGCGGGTGCAGCAGCGAACCGGGATCTGTAACGAGGAAGAAATGGCTGGTCCAGCAGCTAGCAAGAAACGGGGCAAAATGAGCCCAGGACAAAACCTGGAGGGGAGGGACCCACCGCCATGAATCTGCCTTGCCTGGGCCACAGGGCCGGGGTCAGCGCTGCATTGCGGGGCGGGGGAGCGCCGCAGGGTTAGGACCTGCCTTGCAGTGACAGGGGCGAGGGGCTCAGTCTGGTGAGCGCCCCCACGAGCCGGCCTGTCCCTGCCCCACGGGAACAGATCGTGGGCGATGGGCTGTTGGCTCCGGCAGCGAAGGGGAACCCGGCCCTGGGGCTGGAAGCTGATGCCAGGCAGACAGGGAATGAGGCGAGTTTGGACGGGGAGGGGAATTAGAAGCGTTTCCTGGGGCAGGGCGGGTGGGGGATTCTCCATCCCTGGCCATGGTTCAGTGGGGAGCGGGTGTTTGCCAACAGCTCTGCTGGAGGGGCTCCAGGGGGCAGGTCTCTGCCTGTGCTGGGCACGGGGCCAGACTAGGGGATCTCAGGATCCAGGAACACCCAGCTAGCTGGGGCTGTTGCTGGGCTTTCCCTCTGGCCCTGGACTGCTCTGCTGTGTCCTGGGGCAGCCCTGAGCCCGGGCACAGAACTGGCGCTGGCAGCTCTAGCCGAGGGGCCAGCGCTCGTGACCGTTCCTGCCCACAGGCAATCGTGGCCAGCAAAGCCAGCCAGTTCACGGGCTACGCCCAGCACGACGCCCAGGAGTTCATGGCCTTCCTTCTCGACGGCCTGCACGAGGACCTGAACCGCATCCAGAACAAGCCCTACACGGAGACGGTGGACTCGGACGGGCGGCCCGACGAGGTGAGTGCAGCCGCCAGGGGGTGGGTGCTGCCTTGGCCAGTGGGGCCGGATGCTGACCTCTCCCCTCCCCTCAGGTGGTGGCAGAGGAGGCCTGGCAGCGGCACAAGATGAGGAACGACTCCTTCATCGTGGACCTCTTTCAGGGCCAGTACAAGTCCAAGCTGGTGTGCCCGGTGTGCGCCAAGGTAGGGGCCGGCGCCCGGCCAGCAGGCGTCTGTCCGTGGGGCGGTGGGCACAGCCTGCTCGCTGCAGGGTCACCGGGCCGGCCACGGTGCCTGCTCCCTCAGCCACGCTGGAGGCCTGCCCTGCCAGCAGGGGTACCCGGGGGCTCCTCCATCACTCCTCCTCCCGCCCCAGTGCCCGGCTGTCGCCACTTCCTCTGACCCCAGGGCCTCTGCCTGCTCCTCCGCCCCTGGCCATCTGAGCCTTCCAGCCCAGGGCCCCGGGGGCTCTGCCCCGTGCTGACCGTTCTGTCTTGTGCACTGCAGGTATCCATCACGTTTGACCCCTTCCTCTACCTGCCGGTGCCCCTGCCCCAGAAGCAGAAGGTGCTGACTGTCTATTACTTTGCTAAGGAGCCGCACAAGAAACCTGTCAAGGTAAGACAAGCCCTCCTGCCATGCGGCTTCGCTCCTGGCCAGCTGGGATGCTGGGGGCTCTCTCGGGGGCCCTTTCCGGGAGCCCACCGTTAACCGAGGCGCCGCGGCTCCCGGCTGGGCTCATGGGAGGGAGGCGAGCGGGGCCGTGCGTGGCCTGGCTGACGGCCCTCTCTTCACGGCAGTTCCTCGTCAGCATCAGCAAGGAGAACTCCAGCGCTGCGGAGGTGCTGGACTCGGTGGCCCACAGCATGCGCGTGAAGCCAGAGAACCTGCGCCTGGCAGAGGTGAGCGCAGGGGGGG